AGTTTGTCGTGACGGCGGAATGAAATAAAGAGCGCGAACTGTCAGCGTAACGTGTCACGATCGTAATGGTGCGCGGTGATGAGGGTGACACCGTCCATTCGATGCCGAAGCGTGAAATTAACCCGGGCGCATTTCCCCCAGGTGCCAGGAACGTAAGCTTGTCCTCCGCACGACATGCAATTCCATTTTTGCGAGCGAGCGAATTGCTTCGCGTCCGCGTTTCCGGCAGTTGTAAAATTTTAACTTGCCGTCGTGTGTTTTTAAAAACACGCAGCTACACGAGGGCGCGTTTAAGCGCCCCTCTTTGTCCCCCCATCCCCGGATGCAGCAACGCACGGAGGAAATAAATGAAATGTCAAATAAAAGTCGTAAGGCGCGGTGCGAGTTTATTAATCAATATAGCAAGCTGCCACCAATCATTGTCAGTGGATATTTTTTTCGTGAATGCAGTTATGCGCGAAATAAATAAAACCTATTTAAATTATCCTAATGTAAAAACTGCACACGTATTATATATAATATTTTTAAAAAAGTGTGCAAGAGTATACTTCATTTCAGAACTTATTGCGCATTATCCAGGTGGTATTATATCTCACTGTGGTTGTGATTATAAAATATAACAGCTGTAATACGTTCTCTGTATGCAGTCGCACGTACTTATAACTATGTGGTCCGATTATCTGAGTCGCCATGCAGATGCATATACACGAATACGCACACTTCTGACTAATGCAAATACAAACCGCTGCGCTGGTGACCCACTGCAATATTCTGCATTACCATTCGAAAACCGCAAATGGTTATTTTATCTCCTGTTGAAGCGACAAGCGGTGTATTATCTCTGGTGGTATGAGCCGGATCTGACTACTTCAAAAGAACGACCGTCCATTGTATTCATCGTCACGGCGTAAATTTATACGCTGCTACTTGTTTCAAATGGTAGAGTTATAAATTTTTAATGTCTTTAAATCAGGAAGTAATTGCGAAATTGTTAAATATTTGCTGTTACATTTCTCTATCTGTATCTAATAATTTCTATCATGAAAAAGGTGTACGAGTAACGGTAGTAGTTCGAGAGAGAAAGCTTCAGCTGCTTATGCTTGTTAAAAGAGTCATTAAAAACATAATATAAAGTAGAAAATAGAATTATGCAAATAATATATGTACTATACTTAAATATGTACTATACTTTGTGCGTATATTTTTCTATTCGCTTCTTCATTTTCTCATTCATCATTTTTTTGCGCACACACAGCGTCGTCGCGTCCTTTGAGTCCTTTGAACCCCGCCGGAAGAGAGATCGTGCGCCAAGTTCCGCAAATTGTTCATCCCGCCGCGGAAAAGTTTCAAACGGACCGCTTCGCCGCGTCGTTTTGCATCCTCGGGAGCTTTGACGTGCATTATGCGTTATCATGCGTCGTGGCTCGCGGAATATTCGCGACCTGGTCGACGGCAGTCGTCGATATTACGTACGGCATTTCGGTTGGTGTTAGAATTTTTAGAAGAGCAAGTTCTACGGAAGGCTCGTTGCACTTCGGTTTTGCATGTAGCCACATATGCCGTCGCGTAGCATATATGTATGCATTAATGCTACGCTAGCCGCGGTACACATGCATTATCCAATAATCGTCACGATGACGAAAGTTTCGCGTGCAAACAAAGCGCGCGCAGCGACGCGCCGGTGTGCATTCGCGAGTAGTATCAGGACGCGTGTAAGTTCAGCAAACATCATTACGCTCGCGACTCTGTAACGAATGTGAGGCCGCGGGGTTTGTTAATTAAGAAGATACGTCAGCTTGCCGTGTTGTTTAATGCAATCTGTTCTCCGGGAAACCCTCGACAAACAGTCGGTCGTCCGCTTTCCGCAACCTGGCTCGCGCGAGAAAGCGCACTTCAGTCGCCTTCCCCGCAAGACCGTGATCTGCGCGCGAAACTGAAAGGAATTTATTATCTGTCCAATTAAGACGGATAATTATGCACGCTGTCCGCCGCGCCGGCGGTGCAAGCTTGTTAGTCGTATAATTCATGCGGGAATGTCATGTGTACGTGTTGAGCCATCGCAGATCAGACTTCTATCATTTCTCATCCGAGTTGCATAAATTCTTAAAAACACGGGGCTATAATTACATTTTTCACTTAAAGCTTTCTGTTCGTCGTTATTATCAGTTTAATCAGCGTCTTTACGTAAATATGTATTATTTTCGTGCGATTCATATAAATTAAATCAGAAAGTTCCCGAGAAAAATGTTATTAAAAATAAGTAGTTATAAAAATTCGAATAATAATTCATAATTGCCACGTTTAAAAAAAAATATATTTCTTTCAGCACTGAATTTTTTATCGAAAAACTGCCGAACAACTGAAGTGTATTGAAAAACATGACAATTATGTAAAACGATTATGATAAAAGTTATATAATATATTTTTTAATAATTATATGCAGAAAATTTTTTACTTTAAATTTGATCATTAAATCTCACTGTTAAATAATTACAATACGCAAACTAATAAATTATTTTTAACATCACCTCTTTTAGGTAATCAATATTAACTATGCTACTACTTATAAAAAAAAAATATCAGAATTCTTTATATACAACTTTATGTTGCGTAAGCGCTCCGTCATCTTTTTGTCGTGTCGCACGCATCATGTTAGATGCTTCCGCGGCGATTGTGCGGGCTCGTCTGAGGATAGAAATCGATGCGGGTTATAAATGAGAGCTCGCGCTGCCGATCGTGGCGTATATGTTTTGGCAGTGTCAGCACTGTAACAACGTGACGAATTGTATGCATCCATTGCGACACGTACTGCGGAGACAATCCCGGGGCGTCGCGGCGGCTGTCACACGCATGTCGCGCCATCGTTACGTATAATTATTCACGGGGCTTCGTCTCCAAGATCTAGAACGCGGCAGATTAGATTCTGTCTATCAATTTCATCTGACAATGTAATCCGCGTGCACCCGCTATCCCCGCGGGTTACTGCTTCGTCGCATTAACTAACAATACGCCCGTTTCATAATTAAGACCATTATTTGTCATCCGTTCAATGTGCTAATTTTGAGCCGTCATTTAGTTTCTAATTCGACGAAAGCCTGCAACGCGCGAAATTTGTTTTACGTCTTATGACTTTGAGTAAACACGAGTACACTCTCATCGCTAGATTCTTATGATGAATAATGAGATCACTATATATGATTTTTGATATTTTTGTGTATATATTTCTTCCATCGGCAAACTAATTGTCACATCTGTAGTAAACGAAATTATTGATTGCAAACTTTTGCAAATTGTTTCGAAATAATTACGATTTATTTTATCATTAATAATCGAGTTTTAAAATATCCGCTGAAATCGAATAAAAAAGGCAAATCAACAGGAGTTTGTGACAAAATATTTGTACTTCAGTTATCGACATTTAGTAAGACGTGTCGTTACGCGTTGAATGCAATGGGCATAAAGGGCATTCGATACGAGGTCAATCGGATCGGACAAGGACCTATCTCAGTTGGCTGCATGCAGTCGCGTACATATGCACGTATATACGGCTATCGCGAACACTCGCTGCACATTGTTAGTGCGATTATTCACAAAGACGCATTCAGACCAGAGGAGAACGGACGGTCCGGATCTCGTCCGTTAGGTCTGTCTGGCTTGTCTCGGCTGGCAAACCGAGAGCGAGATTACGACGCCATCCGCCTTCCTCCTTGCTGTCGCGTTGCTTACAATGCCGGAAACACGGGGCTTCCCGCGAAGATGTCACTATCCGGACGAATATCTGCAGCATGTTCCGAAAGCCACTTCCGCCGAAAAGGAGCGCACGTTCAAAAGTTGGCGAGTGGCTCGCGCTCATTCGGAAATCTCTGTCATACTTTTGTACAAATACGTCTGTCTGTTGCAATATCCGTCGGTGTCATGACGGCCGATTTGGACAAAATACTTTTCGACACGATTATCACTTTGTGCCAAAATTGTGTCACTTTTTGCGCGCACGTAGTTACCGCTTACGAGATAACACGACATGACTAACTTTTAAAATCTTTCCTTTACTAAAGTTTAGTCGCGTCTCAACTTTTTCCGCAAGCAAATATCCTATTAAAAATCTTGTGCGATTAATTAAAGAGTGAGATAATTTTATTTGTGTTTAAGCATTCTTGTCCTTTAAATCGATATTTTAGTAAGATATTTTTGAGAAATGTTAAAGTTTTGACAGCCAATAACAATCTATTCATCAAATGCATCGTACTATCGTATAAAAGACAACCCCGATATAGTAGTAATAAAGTATTCTTACATGTATTTACGAGGGAAGTACATTACTACACATGCCTCTATTAAGATTGCTGTTTGCGCCGACCTAACGCTATTTCCACGGCCGGATCGTATTCTGCAGGAATGACAAGCATGCATTCGCACACACACACACACACACACACACACACACACACACACACACACACGCACATACATGCACGCGGATGCAGCAGGTGCACAGCGGCTTATGGAGACGCCCGCATTTATTACGTTCCAAGGCGGCGCGACAGCAGAATCTCCGTTCGCAGGGGGAGTTTCAAACCAGAAACTCCCCGGGCTTCGGGAAGCTCGAAGCGGGCTCGTAAAGAATCTAGGCGCACTCTTTGCGCCGCCCGTCTCACCCGCCCGCAGTTACCGCAGATCGACCTCGACACAGATTTCTCTGTGTTATATCGCGGCCCGGCACTCGCGAATCTCGACCCGGAAACTGGTCCACGAATGATTTTCCCGCAGCATTTCGTGGCTCTGCGCCCCGCGTGATGAATTCTTGTTTGCTACTATTGGTTTCGGCCGAGATGTAACCAAGGGCTGGTAGATTAAGCCAATTAATTCAGACGTGGTGTACGGTCGATCGATTAAACCGCGCTCGGTCCGGTTCGATTTGTTTCAATTACCGACTTTAATTTTATTTCAGAGGCGGCGAATTTGTCCCCATGTAACCCACCAGCCGCTCGTTTTTCTTACAGGTTTACGAGATGTACGTGACGGGTTATCAGTTCAAGGTGCTATCGCCCGTATTTACGGTCCACTGGGGACTGCAGACCAGGAAGAGCAGACCCGCCTGGCGCGAGCGTCAAAACAGTGCCAACAGGAAGCAATTTGAGACGTTTAAGAAGGAAGTGTTCGCTCGTTATATGCGGGATCCGTTAAAAATGATGAAAAACACTAACTGACGAAAGGCTCGTCGAGGATCTCGTTGATTCGAGAGTCCTTCGTCCTCGTTTACGTTCGTCCTTAGACTCGACATCGAGGAACCAAAAGTAGAATTAGATCTCTGCCCGTTGTCGATTCTCACCACGTAATGTAGTTGATAGAGTCCAAGTGTTTCACGTGTTCAACAAGTCAACGAAGAATAATATTCATTTTTTACATTTTGTTACTATTTTATTACTATTTTGTAGCGACACAAGTATCTTACAGATATTACAGACCTTTAAAAAAATGTTTTTCTCTATCAACTTCATTTAAACCGTGTGCAATAATATCGGTGCTCAATTGTCCACTATAGACCAAGCCATTCTCGGATCTCTATACGTACGTTTACGTAAAATGGGCAGAATTTTTAACGAAGGATAACCGACCTTATTCTTCGAATGGGAACAATGATAAACTGTATTAAGCGCAGCGATGGAGTGCTCCAGTATGCTCGGGAGAACAGATGCCAGATCGAGTAACCGCGATCGGCCGGATTCGCGCTACTTATCGAACCTTCCGGTTCATCGATTCCGTTAGGCGGAACCAACCGCGGGGGCTCTTGTTACTTCCACTCACGATTCCCCAAAGTCATCAGAAACCGCCATGCGGGATCGCGGAATAAATATCTTCTCGTGAGTTTCGCGGCACGTACTCGCGCGCGAGCAGCGGGAAAACGAGGGCGGGAGATCTTAAGTGAGCGTACCTCGTTAGCTGCCTGAGGCTTAAGAGGATGGGCGTTTAAATCCAAAATCGATACTCCGCTTGACACCGGCGTAGCGTTTCGAAAACGCAAAATAACAAATGGCATAAACAATCGCCTTGCCGTATTATTCTATCGGCTGCGTAGAAGGAAAATTCGAATTGATATACAAGATAATGCTTCGAATCGCAGTTTTCTCGCAATAAATTTCTTTCATTGATAGAATTTTTTGTGATTTATACGGTGAAGCAGATTTTTTCTAATAAAAGAATCGTGGCAATAATTATTTTTAGTTATAGAAATGTTGACAATCTATGCAATTTTATGGATTTTATGAAGTTTAACGCGAAAGTAGACAATAAAAAATTTCAAGCTTTACTTTGGCAGAATCTTAATTCATGGCCTAATTAGGCTAAATATTTGCCCAATTGACAAGTCGGCTGTAAATTATCGAAAAAGTTCGCGAATAAAGAAAGAAACGTGGGATGTATAGTTACATGGATGATAGCAATATGCGAGAGAATGAAAAATGTTGCATCGTTGAAACATCGTGCTCTGCGAGTCGCGGGATCGACAACAACCTTTACGTAATATTCTACGGCGTAATGTACCCGTTTCGTTTAATCAAGTCGCTTGAGAAGAGATGCGCGTTATGTCTCTACGTTAATATCGTCGTTTGCTTTGCGTTACAAATTTACAGGATTAATTATGTGGGGGCGAGGTGTTTCTCGACGTTTACAGACCCATTTGCGCGTATATGGCCTCCATTTGCTCGCGTGCTGTATAAGCTCGACAGCGACAACGATTGCTCAATGAATATCGTCACCGGTAACGTTTCATCCGATTAACCCTTAGATAACGCGTTCTAATTTTTTCTTTTAACTGGCATGGTGCGATCTCTTGGGTTTCTTTGTGGATCTTTTATTATAAATGACGAAGCATTTCATCAAACAAAATTTGCATTCCATCACTCTTATGCTCAAGAAAGGTTATTAGAAAGATGAGCAATAAAAAAATTATCAGATTTCTACTTTATTCCGCGGATAAAAGTGCGACGACTGCTACCAGTGTCAGTTAAAAGTTAAAAAACGTAAACGTTTAATTTAAGGCACAGAGTTATCTTTATATTGTAATATTTTTACTGATAGATGTGTAATATAGAATAGGCGGTGTTGTGAAATAATAAAATATAATAAAGAATTATACGAGAATTATATTGCGCGCTATTTTCTGGGGAAAATCCTAAATACACAGATTATTTCGTGAACTCTTGCGAGATGTACGCATCGAAAAAATCCATCCCTTCGGTTTCGATTTGATTTCGATATTATTTTACTCTCGTCTTGACTCTCGATAGACAACCGTATGCACGGCAGAATTTACAGTAAAGGAATATGATGAGCCGATGAAACGACGCGTTGTGAGGAAGGCGCAATCTGCGCGCCCGGAACTTGTTCTCGGAACTGGCAACGAAAAATTCGTGACAATTCGCGGATAAACGAATTTAACCAAGCGTCAAACATCTGACGGTGTGAGAAATAGAATTCAATTGCGAGAATACTCGAAGAGACGAGTTTCGCTCTCTTGAACGCGTGACGTATCCCGGACGTTTTCTCGATGATTTTTTTCTTATTCTTCATTTCCTCCGCGTCGATTTCAATTTATTGCTTCACGTGGAAGGTGACATTGAGATTGCAACAGATCGCCAAAATTGCGGAAAATTTCCGTTATATTAATTTATCAAATTAACATTATTGATTGGAAATAATTTCTTTGCTGTTACAATTCTTTATTCCATTACGTAAATGAAACCTAACGTCGCGATTTAATATTATTGGACTTCTGTTCCACGTCACAGTTCTAATCAAGAAAATAAATTAAAAATCGACAGCATAGATCACTCCCTTCTAATGAATTAAACGGGCACAACACCGGTTGACCAATACAACGGAAAATCTAGTTACGTGCTACCACTTCACCGCTCTTCCACGAAACAGTTTAATCTCGTGACTGCTCGTCTTCCGAGCAGAGTAGGTCGATGCGCGAACCGCTTTAAAACTTGCTTTAATATCCCTACGACGTTCTCCTCGCCGGTAGCTTTCTGTCTTGCGCGGTGATGCTTTTTACGTACCTTTTCGACGAGCGCTTTGAGGGATCTAATAGAAAAATCTAGACAGGGGTAAGAGTGAAACGGTGACTCCACAGCGAGGAAGGGAAAAAAGTTGACGACCGCGGACGACGAGAAAACGAGCCAAGAGGTCGCAAGGATGAATCTAATAATTTAGTCAGGTACGGTAAAGGTAGGTGAATGTATCGCGTATACATACCTGTGACGTGCACCTACATAGTATCTACGTACCACACACGCGCGGCTTATTTGCTACTCTTACCTGCATCCTTCATGCCCCGCGGCGAATCTTTCTCACGCACATCATTCTGCGTCACCTTTTTCCCCGAGACTCGTGCAACTAGCTACGCCGAGAACTGGCTAAACAGCCAGCAACGTGTAGAAAATTAAGCCATTCTCAAAACAAGTCGACGAACTGAAAAATTTAGAAAAAGCAAATTACTGTTTAGGTGAACTATTACATCGTCTAAGTTACCGTAATATAAAAACATAAAAGTAAAGAGAGCGTTTGAAATAGCTATTATAAATATAAATAGGAAAGTGTGAAAAATTTATGCAGCTAAATATTTACACTTTTAATAATGGAAAATGTTTATTTCAATAAAACATGTATACCGAAAGATAAAATTTGCATCACAAAAACAAAACGCGAAATATTAATATTTATTTCGATACGAAAATTAATCTTTTATTTCTTGTCATTTCGTTTTGTAAAAGATCAGCGATATCACCGTGAATTGAATGTTTTCTAAATTCTGATTACTGCAATTACATACATCACGCAATTAGAAATGTGCTTGTACGTTCTTATGATTATGAATGAGCAACGGCATAAATCTCTATATGCATGTCGTTGAATATACAACAAGAGCTTTAACATATTCGCGCTGGAATATATTATACTTAAACCATGTTGCAATGCGTGCACTTTCAAGAAACTCGCTATAGGATTAACAATATATACAAGTGGCGAAGTACGAGTATACGCCGGGATACGTACGTTGATAGTATAGCGCACGGTTTTCTAGTACATCGATGGTATAGTATATTTCCTTCGCCGCGTTCGCCGCGCTGCGAGGTAAGTAAATCCGCATTTTTTCCCTTTAAAGATCTTCCGCTCTCTCGCGCGCGGTAATCCTTTACAACAGCCAGGATAGTGCATCCGTACGTTGGTCCAACAAGAAGCGATAACGACGATAACAGCGACATCGACGACGACGGCGACAGCGACGACGACGACGACTACGGATTCTCGCGCGCATCCTTCGCGATCTTCCATAACGAGATACGATGGTCGTAAACAAACTTTACTAAACCGAAACGATCGCGAGAAAAGCCGGAGAAACGGTTTATACCTCGGGCTTAAACGGTAAGTTACATCAGCCAGTGCATAGACGTAGAATGCAAAAACCTTTGTCGTGTTTCTTGACGTGCGAAATTCTGTAGAAAAAGATTTTGCAAGATACATAACGCCTCTCTTCACGTCAAAACGGTCTGATAAATACGATTACAAAGATTGAAAATAGAATGAACTCTGTTTCCGGAAATTATGAGTAACTGGAGCGAATTCTTATTTGTAGCTGGAATCGTTTATTTCGGTATAAGTACAGGATATCCTAGAAAAAATTCAAATAATATCTTAAAACTAGATTTATCGATCTTTTATTAGCGAAAATATCGAGATTTTAATCATTTTTTAATTAGAAACCGAAATAAAGTTTCGGAAACGATGAATCAAACATTTAATATTCGAATTTTAAAAACTGTAATAAGTAATGCATCTGTTTACATTTTTGCCGTTAAAAATCTATTTTGAAGATACGATGGGCGCGATATTTTTGCATCACCCTGAATATTCAAGCCACGTGTCCTCGATATCTCTTTACGGTGCACTCGAACATCCCGATGCACTCGAAGTCGACACCTATGACACGCGATGCAACCGCGGTAACACGATAAAACGTACCCCACGAACCGCAACCTGGCGCCATGAAGCCGCGTCGGAATGCGCCGTGAAACCGCCCGATCGTTAGCATTTTCATCCCACACCCGGCGCGAAGCTCCGCTATATACACTTTTTACTGTCGACCATTGTATTCGCGATTCGAGTTAACTGTCGAACGTTCGCGGGGTTGTTTGAGATAACCGTGAAAAAAAAAACTGACGCGTTTCGAGCTCGCAGAGAGCGGAATAGCGCAATACTTAATCGGATTATCTGCGTAGCTTTTGAGATTAGAAGATAAACGGGGAGAATTCAAGTGTTATCTTACGCGCAATGACACCGCGTAACATTGGAGCGAAGCAATTGTCTTTGTTGAAACATAATACGCAGATATATGGAAAATGAGATTTTGTGCTCATCGTTTTATTGCAATATAATTAAATTTTTAAACCGCGTACATGAAAACAAATTTCTTAACGCAAATAGAAATCAATTTTTCTATTATAATTTTGAAGAAAGATACAAAGAAAGAAAAATTATGCCATAAATAATTATTTTCTGTTAAGTAACACATTTTTGAATGTAATTTGTTTAACGCTTATTTCGCGTATAATATTGTTTAATCAGTTATTTTATACGTACTTAAATTATCTGGAATTTTGTCGTCCCGTAAAGCGACGTCTTTTAAAAGGATGGAACTTTATAATTATCTTTACGTCACTTTTAAAGCGTCTTATAATATTGCGCTTCTTAATAATAAACTTATCGTAAGAATCAGAAAAAGATTGTAACAAAACGAATGATTCATCGTAGAACAACACTGTTATTGATGTTCTATCGTAAAATATATATAATTTAATTTTAACGCTGACTGGTTTGTCAAAATTTTCCAGAAAATTCTATATTATAAATATTATCCACAATAGCTCGATTCATATTCCTCTCCTTTCGAATACATAAATCTAGATTAGATAGGTATAATAAATTGTTATGTGAGAAACGGCGGAATTGATCGTATTCAGGTGAAAGTGTATGTGTACAGCGGTAATGTTGCGGAAATGTGTGGCGAATTGAGGAAAAGAGTAGTATATGCAGCCGTATTGTACTGTCAGCAATCAGGAACGACTTCCGTTCGGGGCGTACAAAAACTTACTCAAACAATGCACGTAGTGTATGTCGAAACGTCAAGTTGACATTCCATTTCGATCTCGGCGGTTCTATTCTCGACAAGGATTCAATTGATGAACGGCAATTTCCAAATGGACATAGCTTTTTCGCGAGACCCCGACTTTGTTTGATTCACGTTTATTTTCGACAAAGCCGGAGAGAACATTGAAAATACGTGGTAAATTCCATTAAAGTGAGAGATTGCGCGAGATCCCTCGACTGTGATCGCGCTTAACATTTAATTAAGACACGAGTCCGTAAGAAAATTCACGCGCGCGCATTGTAGGAAATCCTAATCCGGTTGCATAATCCGGCGATTATCTATGGGGGATTGCTCATACTGACAGATTCCCAGTGGCATCCGTATCCGTAAACCTTCCTTCCGCTTCCGTATCTATACGAAGTTTCGGCAGACATCCCAGCCGCCGGGCGGCAGAGGGAGAGGCGCCATCAGCAAAATGTTCCCTCTAATTGAAAACGGACCTATTCCACCGGCGCTCGTACCCGGCGCCGAAAGCTGCCGTTAGATTGCACGAGATTAGTTCAGATTATTCAAGATCAGACGGGATTAGACTCGTCCTCGTATTAGGCAACGTTAGATAGGAACACCGACTACCGGTGTTACCCGTTAGCGACCGTTCGCTTAGCATTATAGCGCTATCCCCTGGTGTATTGGCGGTATCTTGATCACCCAAAAACTGTATTTACAACATCGAGTTGATCACAATCTTTCAACCACCCAAACGGAACCCCTCGACATTAAACGATAGAGTTGATAAATAGTGTAAATGCAGCGCAAAATATCATGACTGAGTGAGTTTTAAACTTCTTAAGTAGAATTGGACGAATCGTAAATCCGAAATTCTATCCGCCAGCGGACGGATCGAATCTCGTTCCGCTCCTTCGAAATAAAACCTATGAGCCGATAGAACGGCGCTTCGCTAAAAATTGCATCTCCATGGAATAACAGTGGATAGAAAGATATATAAAATAATAATGAAAGAGAAACGGCGTACTAACGACCGTTGCGAAAATCATTCAACAGCCATTACTCACGTTTTCATATCCCTCCTGCGCCGCGTTCGGCGGAGCGGTATTTGGTATCGGAAATTGGTACGATGATTCCGATCCATATGCAACGTCTTTCCGCCTTTATAATGACTGTATTCGAATGATGGACGTATTTGCATGTGCAATCAGAATCGCGATTTTCATCCCGTTTAACCCTTTTGCCATTGGACATAAACTTCCACCCAGCAATTTTCATGCAAATCCAACGATATTTTTGCATTTTTGTCTGCTATATTGAATCCATCATCTCCAATTTCTTCGAACAACCGCAACAAAATATCAAAAGAGCATAATTTATAGGTCCATGGATTTATATGGCGGGTAACGATAAAAGAGGTAGCATTAAATTGGTGTTAAGAACGAGACTCTAGTGTCAACGAGGGGATTACCGTAAATTTCGCGCGCAGTTGGCAATAACCGACTGGAATCCAGCGGATTATCCTCTTTGTAGAAATAAATGCCCGGAGCATGAGTAAAGTTGAAAGAGACCTTAACTTAAAACCCTTTGAGCGCGCAAACGTCCGGTTCGTGTGTGCGAAACGTGCTCGCGCAATATGAAGGACGGCCGCCGGTCTTTTAAATATCGCGTCAAAATCACTCTCGCGATTACACCAGTCTTAATTATACCTTTGCTTTCGCGATATTAAATTTCACGTGAGCACTTGCTCTCTTGCTAAATTGAATTAACCAACGTGATAAATGCTTTGCTCCAATTTTTGTGATTACGGTACTCGAATATCATCGAAAGAATCTCAAGTGGCGGCACTCACCGCTCGGTGGCATTCATCGAGGGTAATACCCTTACAGCGGAAACGTTTGATACGACCCGCGAAATCCGATCCTGACCGAGTCCAATTAATCCTGACCTCAAGCAAGCGAATCGAGACGAACGGAACGGATCAAATCGAGAGAATTCAACGTGTATTCGAACGGCGCGGCTCTCGAGCGCTATCACGCGTAACAACCTCGAACAGACTCTCGCGGAGAAATTATGTGTTAAGATCTGGACCACAGACCGCGATATCTCACGTGCAGATGAAATTGCTCGGGGGCGTTGATAGGGCGACGGAGGGGGAGGCAAATTCGAGGTTCCGCGTGTTAATGCTGAATCGCGGATCCGTTTTCCATCTACTCGCTCGATAATGTTAGCCGTTTAGCGTTTCTAACATCGTCGACGCGCGTCGAGACGCGGATGTTAATTATTTCGGCGGTTTCCCTCTCGGAGTTTCCTAATC